GGGCCAGCGCGGAGGCAGGCCGAGCCGGCATAGCGAACTGGGCCGAAAGCGAGGCGGCGGCCCATAAAGTGAAAATGTGATTTTTTTTCAAATTATTTTCAATTCCTTTTTCATTCAAACGAATTTTTGAACTATTTCAAAGCAGTTTCAAAAGTTGGTGTAAAAATGAAAGTTGTTCCATTTTTTAAGATCTACAACTTTTCTTTTATGACCAAAGTCAAATTCCAAATAAATTTTGAATTACAAAATAAAAATCAATATTAATTCAAAACCCTAATTTTGAAGAATTATTTTTAATGGCAAAATTTGGTAAAAATTTAAATATGAACTTTGCTCCAAATTGTATCCTAATTATTTCTAGCTGTCTTAGTGATCAAAACAAGAAATCATGGCATCCAAACATGAGCATGGCATTTCACATTATTTTAAACATAATGAATTTCAATCAACTTAAGCGCCACATGAAATGATACTTCATTTCTTTCGAAATGAAATACATGAATGATGCTTATGCATGAGGTGATGATGATTATGCTTATGGGATTAAATGGTAATGCACGCTTAACACCGAGGTGTTACAGCTACTGCCATTGGTGTCAAAAAGAGCACTCTACATAGGTGGTTCAAGGAAGGGCTACTACGACGTCACTCTAGCACACTGAAGCCTCTATTGATGGATCAAAACAAAAGAGACAGGCTCCAATGGTGTCTTAAGATGTTAGATCAGCGGACACTACCACATGAACCCAAGTTCAGTGCAATGGAAAACATCATCCACACGGACAAGAAGTGGTTCAACACCACATCAAAGTACAAGAAATATTATATGCTTCAAGGAGAGGACGACCCACATAGGACCGTGCAAAATAAGAATCGTATTGTCAAAGTTATGTTCTTGTCAGCAGTAGGAAGACCTATATACGATGATGAAGGTAATTGCATCTTTGATGGGAAGATAGGAGTGTGGCCATTTGTTAGAAAGGTACAACATCACCTTGTTTTAGTTTGTTACATTAGTTTGTGCTAACACTTTTGATCCTTAATTATTTTCATTGACTCTAGGAACAAGCCAAAAGAAGTCGTAATAGGGGGAGAGGGACTCAAGTCACCAAGCCTATTAAGGTAGATCGAACTACTATGAGGTCATACCTCATTGGTAAAGTTCTAAAAGCTATTGTTTAACGGTGGCCACGAGAACTTAGAGGGCAAACCATATGGATTCAGCAAGACAATGCCCCTTTACATGTGCCTGTAGATGACGCAGAATTCGCTGCTGCAGTAGCACAAACAAGGCCGGACCTAGGATTCTTTGCTTCTCTTCAGATCTTAACCTATGAAAGGATCTCTAGGAACTTAGATAAGCAGATTCAGAATGTGTCCAAAATGAGTTTGATAACTATGATCCAGATACTTTGAATAGGGTGTTCCTAACACTACAAGGGTGTTCCTAACAGATGTGCGGCTGATTTTCTTTCTTTCTTTTTTACCGGTGCTGGGCTTGTGCGGGTGGGGAGGATGCGGCACCTGCTGGCCTGCTGCCATAACGAGTGGGCGAGAATGCGTCCTGGGACTGATTTTTTTTTTTTTTTTTTTTTTTTTTTTTTTTGCATGAGAAGTGTCGTGCTGGCAGCAGCCGGTGCCTGTTGATGTGGGTCCTATGCTAGGGCCTGGTACCTAGTATAGCCTGGTTTTGAACTCTGGATTGCGTTTTTTGTGGGACAAATTTTGAACTCCTGGACTGTGTTTTTTTTAGGACGGAGGAGTATGAATTTTTCAAAATGTTCAATGATATTTTACCTATACTCTGATTGTTCAGGTAGGAATTTTTCCCATGGTATATTTTGGATTGTCCCATTGGTAATAACTATTGTTCTGTTAGTGCAATTCAGTTGGCCTAAGATTTTCAAAATGTTCTACTTGTAGCTATAGTTTGATTGTTTCCGTAGGAAGTGTTCACCATTTTATGTTAGATTATGAATTGTTCTCTTGGCATAAAAAAGATTATGACTTGTCCTATTGGTGAAAAGTTATTGTTCTTGAAAAAACATTTTTAGTACATGTCAATTGTTTCATGATTTTTTATATGCACTATGATATTTTTAGTTTATTCTCTTATATGGTTTTAATTTCTTTATATTGTATAATTAGAAATGTTCAATGAGATGTTTGTTTATAGCTCCTAAAATAGCTACATTTTTTTTAATTTCTTTATATTGTATAAATTAGAAACCTCAACTAGGTCCAGGGGCAAAGCTAGAGAAAATTCGAAAGGAGTGCGATTGTGTTGTGTGTGTATAGATTTTTATCATAGGGTGCAAATATGGCAAAAATTTTATTACTCCCACTGTGTTTTCATTTTCGTGTGGGTGCGTTCGCATCCCCTACTGACTACACAGCTCTGCCCCTGAATAGGCCTAAATCTGTTGCATTCATGCTAGTTGCATTTTATGTTTTTTAAAATATATTAAGACATTGATTAGAAAACTTTGGGAGTATTCTATTTTTTATATGTTTTTTCTAATTTTTTATATAGCTAAATCTAATTTATGGAATCTTATAAATGTATTTTCACAAACTCTAAATGTATCTTGCATTCATGATGTTTTACATCATAGTTTTATTATGAAAACCACTAAGGCATTTATTACTTCCTTGGTTCCAAAATGTAAGTCCTCGCATTTTAGATATATAGCTTTTACTATACATGATATATATGTAGGTGCATAACAAAAGTTATGTACCTAGAAAAGACAGAACGACTTACAATTTGGAACTGTGGGGCACGCGTTTTGGATTTTCTTCAAATTTTTTGGATATATTCCTATTTTATTGAACTAAATCCAATTCATGGAACCTTATACATACATTTTTGGTAAGCTATAAATATTTTGTTTAAGTTTCTTATGTTCCAACTATCTCTAGGGTTTTTCTCATAATTTTAGAAGCTTGAGATAACTTTTCACGGTTTAAAAATCTTATGAGGTGTTTAACAAATTTATATTAGTTTGAATTTGAAAATAATGAAACCGTCTAGAAAACCATTTTTAACCGGGCAGAGGTAACTTAAACGATTTTAAGAGTTGAAGATACATGGTGGTTATTTATAGGCGAAAATGAGTTTTTCGCTCAAAATTCTTCTCTCGGTTTGGGCTGAAGCTCAAAATTCTCCTCTCTCGCCTACCTCCCACGGTCCCACCTCTCAAACTGTTATTGGGTCGCAAGTCACAATCCATCGGGCCGAAGGGGCCTCGCTATCTTATACTCTTACAGCCCGCACAAAATGCTCTCATTCATCCTTAGGGTCCATACGTGTCGACAATTCAAGGCCCATCTAAAATGTGTTAGGAATTGCTGGCGCCCGGACGTCTAATGGGATAGGATTCCATCGAACGGTACACATCGTTGTAGTCCTTCCCTATCAGCCTCATCTCCGCCCTCGTCCATCTCGCTCTGCCTGCGTGCCCACCGCCTTCCCCGACCCTTCCTCTTTCTCCACGCGGGCAGGACCCGGGAGATAGGATGAGGACGAGCACGCCCGGTCCGTAGGACCCTAGCCGCGCCACGCACCCCATCCGCTGGCCCTCGGCTCGCTGCGCCCCTTCCCCTGGCGCCTGGGCTGTGCCCCCTCTCTATACAGACCTCTCAAACACGAAACACCTGCAACATGAAACACTTGAATGCAACATAAGTCTAAAGCAGATGAAACATTTGGAACATACACTTGCAACATGTATGTGAAACATATGCAACATCCAGATAAAACACTTGCAACTTGCAATAGGACAACACTTATTGCAACATAAAGACCAAAACAGCTGAAACATTTTGAACATAATCTTGCATCGTATGTGTGAAACATATACAACATCCAAATAAGCACACTTGCAACATAAGTCTAAAAAAACAGATGAAACATTTGGAACGGGCGCTTGCAACATACGTGTACAACTATTGAAACACATGCAACATCATGATCTATTTTTACATCATTCATATGAAACACTTGCAACATACCTTTGAAACATCTGAAATAATTAAAACATACTCTTACAACATGCGCTTTCAACGCAACATCTCCTTGTTGCTCAGTAGAATGGAGGCTCGTCGGTGTGTGTGTTCACCAGAGGTTGTAGGCGGCGGCAGTGGCTGCACGTCATGGAAGGGAGGCATCGGCCGCACGAGCGGCGGGGAGGCCGCGACCGCGCGACATGGAGAGGGCAGCAGCGCGTCGCGCCTGGCAGGGCCCGCAGCCGAGCAGTGCCCTTCAGAGGCGGACGGGAGCCTCGGAGGCGGCCGCGCGCTGCATCTCGGAGGGCCAGCGACCGTATGCTCGGAGGCGGCAGGCGAGCGGATAAGAGCGATAGGAAGAGAAACGAGTGGATAAAAATAAGTGGATGAGTAATTTTTTTAAATGAAGGAGCGTGGCTGGTGTCCCAGCAACGAAGTGTCCGGAAGGACGGACGGCCCGGTTGAGAGGATTACTGAAAATGTTTGGCCCCTCTAATGTCGTCAAGTGGCGGAAGTAATCATTTATTTAGCCCTCCAGTCCAAGAGCGCACTAAGACTGTCTCCAAAGATCGATACCCAAAACACAAGACCCATTTTACATTTGGGTAGCGCTACAGTTAAAGGGTTCAATACCCATTTTTAGTCTTCTCCAACAACAAGATCCAAAATAGAACTCTTTTTGTAAATTTGTCTCCAGGAGAGAGGATACTCAGATTTAGGTTATACCTCTCTTGACATCTAAAATAGGTCTTCTATATAGGTATTCTGTTGGAGGCTATAGATATTATGTTGAAGATTTATTTTAAGTTTGGGTCTTGTTACAGGTCTCCAGTTGGAGACAGACTCAAAGCCCATTCCCCCTCCTGCGACCATCCCTCCCCCAAATCGAAAGGCGGGAAAAAAACTCCCAAAACCCCCAAACCCCCCTCCCGACCTGACCGACCTCCAGAAGCTTCGAGAAGGGCCTTCCACGGACCGCTTCCCCGGAACCGATGGCTGCAGCTGCGTCGGCGTCGGGCGGCGACACCCCGAAGCAGCTCCTCTCCATCATCCGCGACTTCGCCTACGAGAAGTCCCACGGCGGTAAGCACCCAACCCCTCCCGCGCCGAGCGCGCACGCCACTAGGTTATTCGCGCGTCCGCGGCTGATCGGACGCGCTGACGCGCCGTTTCTCTCTTGGCGTGCGCGCAGAGCGTAGGGTGTCCGACCTCAGGCGGCGCCTCGCCGATGCGCGCGCCGCGGCAGACGCGGCCGCGGCGGAGCTCGACGCCGCGAAGCGCGCGCGGGAGGCTGCGGAGCAGGACCTCCGCGGGAGCCAGGTGCAAGCCGCGATCGCCGCCGACTCCATCCTTGCGCTAGAGGTTTCTCCTCGTCTCGCCCTGAAATTTATGAATTGTCGCGCTTGCTATGCCCAATTTTCGTGATCCGAGTTACTTTGGTGTGTTTAGGCGACGATCTCGCATCTCCAGGAGGAGATCTCGAAGGCCGGCACTGATCTGGACGCGCTCAAAGTGAGTTCCGCATTTCGCAGCGAATTTGGGCTCTTTGTTGCTTTACTATTAATTAACATATGTTCATTCTGGTGTATGGTTCGAATCGGAATGGATGTGCTGTTGGCGCTTCACGAATTTGCTCCAAAAGAGCAAGGGAGACAGTGAGAGGTGAGTAATATGTACTCTATCTAATGCCTTGTTGCTGTGCAAAATGTCCCGTATGTGTTGTTCTGTACTATAATTTCGTTGCTTGCTGCTGATCATGCTTATACTTTCCTCACTGTTGCAGAGAGGAGTTCATTAGCAAGATGTATGAGATGAACGCAAAGATAAGGTATAGAATGTTGTGTTTTGTCTGTGATGATTTCTTTTGCTGTTTGATGCAATCATAAAACAAACTATAACTGATGTTGCATCTCTTTTTCTTGGCTTTGCCTATAGCGGTGTTGGCAGTAATTACCTCTGTATAAAAGGGATATGATGTGTTGTTTGGGTATTCTCAAAATACTTGAGAATGTGAGGTACAAGGGAGCACAGTGGTGACACTTTTCATATGAAGCATGTATCAGGGGTGCTCGCATAAGTCATGACATTGCACTAAGAGGGCACTTTAAGATTCTTATTACATCCTACTTTTACTGTTTTCAATTTCCATGAATTTGGCATTTCCTTGCTGGCTAAAACTTGATTTTGTAAGTTTAAATTTTGTTACTATCATGTTAATTATAGAAAAGTAGTACTATCTTGTTCATTATCCAGAGAAATAATATTCCTCTTCTACAGGCAATTTCAACAGATGGTCTCTCTAGAATTAGCAGAGCACAATCACTGTGAGCCGTCTACAGAAGGTAAGTAGTGAAAATCAGAATGCAACATACCACTTTCTGTTCCTGAATTGTGCAAGGGGTTCCATTGAATATGTGTTGTTCTAGTCATTTCTTGTTTATTGCTTCTTTCCTTTTACAGAATCTAAATGATTGATGATTGGAACTCTTAAGAATTGCACGCTGCACTCTGCTTGAATTTTCTCCTTAAGTTTGCAATATTAAATTATGTCAAATTGTTGAATCTGATTGTGTACGTTATGTTTTAGAGTTTTTGTGCATTGCAAGGTGACAGCTGATAATTGCTCATTTATTACTGTAAGCAAAACATGTGATTATTTAATAGCAGAGAGGAACTTCAAGATAACCCAGTTTGGTGTTGGCTCTGTACTTATGGATCTAATTTGTGTTGTTAAATTTTGTAAAGCTGTTTGCCTGTTGATTTCTCATCTTGTTTCTTTAGTATGTCTTTCATAGTTAGTCTAAACATACTTTGTCCTCTCCAGTAGTCAAATGTATTGATGTTACGATATGTTGCGTGATACTGCTCGTTCCCTTCTCTTTGACAGTTTGCAATTAACATATGGCTCAATTTGTGCACTTCATTCCCTTACACTATCTGAGATGTCCCCTTTGTAGGCCAACATGTCAGAGACGAGAGTAAAAATGTGGACTCAGAAGGCAGTTTGAAAGATTTGGCAGATAAGGTGAGCAACATTGAAGCTGAGGTGCAGCTCTTGGAAGAAGAGTACAAAAAAGATCTGCTTGATTATGATAAGGTGCGCTGTTCCCAAAGCATTGTATTATATTTATCTGCACAATGTTAACTGATTAAGCAGAGATCTTCCAACATCTTCTCATTTTTCTGTTCATAAGACCATCCTGATGAAAATCTGTGGCTGTGAATTACGTGATATTTGAATGACAGCTGACATGCTCTGTATTTACTAAGTTTAGACAGTATGCGAACCATTAAACTGTCTAATGCATATTAATACTAAGTTGTTGTAGTTCATCAATCAGGAAAGTGAGAAACATGATGACGATGCATAATGCTTGTTACTGTCTGGTTAATGCATCTGAAGGCAAATTTATTAACTGTCGAGCTGTACATCAGCACATGTGTTCGCCAAAGGCCGTTCAGCATTACAAACATTAGTAGGCGACACAGTGTCAAGGATCATGGCTGACGTGCAGGCAGAGGATGTGTGTGGTTTCAACTGCGGTGTCATCTATTTTTAATAATCCATATTAACCATCAGTCTCTCCCTCGTAATTTGGGAAAGGTTCGGTGGTCCAGGACATTCTGTCCTTGCCAGTTTAACGAAACCAATGATTTTGGTGTTTTGTTTGCAGGTACGTGAGGAGCTGGCCGATGTCCAAGCAAAGAGAGCTCTTATGGAGGCTGTTATGGGAGAGACAAGGCAGCTGCAGGAGCTTGGCGAATATCCTGAAATTTATGTACAGAGCTATCTGTTTCTACGCATTTCTATTCACATTTCCCCATGCTTTCGGCGAAGCTTTCTTTAACCTGGAACACGCGGGCAGCTGAACTGGAGAAGGTGCACGCTTCCCTTGCAGAGGAGCTGCAGCGTCGGTACGCATGCCCTGGCTGCGGAGTCAACAACATGCCTGGGCTGGAGGCGGCTGCGAACTAGAGGAAGCGTCACATGATGTGCCGTGCATACACATGTCAGATGGGTGACGTGGAGCTATGGCTACCGGATTCTTGAACTTGTCAATGAGGGATTTGATTATATACTCCTAGTCAGTAGAAGCCTTAGACGAGCTTGTCATACACATCGGCGAGCTGTGAGTTCCTGTCTGAAGTTGAGCTATGAAAGTCGAGGAATGTCTGGGTCCTGTTTGAACCTATATTACCCTTCCTATACGCAACTTTCGTCTGGTTGCCATCTCATGGCATGTTTGGAACGAAGGAATCCAAAACGCAGGAATAGGAAAAAACGCAGGAATAAGGTACGATGAAAAGTGAAAAACTACGAGATTTCAAAACACAGGAACAGAAAATTTAAGCTATTTGGAACACAGAAATTTATAACATAGGAATTGTAAAATGTTAGGCAAATATGGGTACTAATTACTATATCTATTATACACGTCAGTAGTCACCAGACTCTTTTTACAATTATGGGACCCATGCACTTACTCATCCACCCGCTTTTAGCAGTAGACAACCATTCTTCCGATGAATTATCACCGTAGTCACCTTGGGCTTCCGTGAAGGAATCAGAAACAAGAGATTGGAGTGGAGTTTTGCTTTCCCGTGAAACCACGAATAAGCTACAGTATTGTTGACAACGTTTTTTGCACGTGTCAAAATGATCGGAGTGGACTGATCGGCAAGGGGAAAGTAGCTGTATACTCTGATAACCGATGAAAGCCAGCTTGTAAAGATGGTTGCCGATAGCTGGTTGTGGTCGATGGAAAGGTTGATTTAGACTCGGGCGTTGCCGATGAGGTTGGAGGTGTTATTGTCGATGCCGATGAAGGGAGGCTTGAAGACTACTGCCGATGAAACAGGGAGTATGCCGATGAAGGAAGACTTGAAGACTATTGCCGATGAAACAGGGAGTATGCCGATGAAGGAAGACTTGAAGACTACTGCCGATGAAACAGGGAGTATGCCGATGGGAAGGAGGACGGTGAGATTTCCATCGTAATTAAGGCGGACAGGGAAATAGATAGGAATTGATTTTCTTTTCTATATTTGTTAGAGTATGACTAATGTAAGAGTCACGTGTTTTCTTAGATATGGGCTTGGTGTCCTAGTTGTGTTTGGTTGTGTCTCTTTAGATCAGGGTATAAATATGGAGTGAGGGGCAATGTAATAAAGATATCAATCAATATCAAAACCAAGTTCTACTCCTATTTACATCTACTTACTTTTCGGCGACTTCGTCAATTTGCATATTTTTCTTTTTACGAGTTCTCATTGATTCGGCGAGTTGCATTGTCTCAGTGCGACCTTCGGCGATTCTCGAGTTCCGCGTGAGTACCTCTTGGCCGTGACTTCCGGGCGTATCGCTGTTGTCAGGATCAAAGTGCTCGTATCTTCATCCTTGTCGATTAACAGGTCAAATCGACTAGCACGCTTTGGATATCGATTCGGGTATTAGCCCTTTGTGTTTGCAGATCCACTTTTGCATCAACACATCTTTTGGCACGCCCGGTGGGACAAATCAATCCGATCAATATGTTCAATTCCGAGATCGATGCGGGGAACATTATCGCGGTATCAGAAGAAGATCTTAAGGAAGAGCAGAGGCAGGCTATGGAAAAGGCTGTAGAAGAATACAGGCAGCTTTGTCTGAAATCGTTTAGCCTGAACAAGAGTGGACAAGTCATCCAGAAGCAAGATTTGCCGTTGCCTCGGCAGGTTACCTTTGACTCCAATCCTGGTAAACTTCAAGAGATGGTTAATTCTGCAATAAATCATGCTTTGATTAATCATTCCAATGTGTTGTCCAATACTGTTCATAATGCTGTGGTTCGAACTCTCAAAGAAGGACAAGCATCACCGCATTATGTTGGGCCTGCCTATCACCAACCAGAACCGGCATCTGTCAATACTCCATCGGCTCCCTCGGCCGTTGTGGGTACAGAAGTTACTTCTTCTCCAGTATCGGCAGGTTTACCTAATATTCAATCTACACCGATACGATCAGATCCGGTACTACCAGGAGGACGAATTCAGCTTAATACAGATCTATCGGCATCAGCTATGTCAGGTCCTGTGTCTCAAAATAGCCAGATTCCTGCTAATTGGTGGGGATATGGTATGCCTCCGGAGTCATCTGCTTTCAATCCTGGATTACCTCAAGTGTTTGATGCAGTAGGAAAAGCTCCTATACCATCGGCTATTTCGCCGATGGCCCAAGTGCCTCAATATGCCACAGCAACTACTGTGCAACCAACTCCAGGGGGTTTCCAGATGCCTTTGGTTCAAACGCCCAGTTCAAATCTATCGGCAAGCTTACTGCCGATACAGCAGAAAGCCCCTGTTATGAGTCAAACTGGGGTTCAGTTTATGCCTCAAGCTGGTTATAATTATCCAACAATGTCAGCAAATTACCAGCCATCGGTAAGTTTTGTACCGATGAGTTCTAATAATGGTTGGTCAGGACAGTTACCTGTTCAGCATACAGTTCAGCAAGATCGGCAGGTTGCAGGGATTCAACAAGGTCATATGCAAGCTGGTTTTCAGAATCAAGCATCGGCAGCTCAGCCGATGAATCCTTTCCAACAGGTTAATGGACCACAAGTAACGGCAAATATGCCGATTCTTTGGAGATCGTGGGCCACAAAGATATGTGGAACGATATCAGCAGGTACCTCTGTAGAAATTCAGCCGGTTAAATCGCCAGGAGGCTGATGCTTTTTGGCCATAAGATAGCGCGAAATTATGAAGGATCGGTTTGGGATAAAGCCCAAGGTCAATACTTATTCTTATCGGACTCCATACCCTCCCCGCATATGATTTAATTCCTCTCCCAAATCGGTACAAGGTACCAGATTTCACTAAATTCTCTGGGCAAGATGATACATCAACAATGGAACACGTCAATCGCTTCATTATTCAATGTGGAGAGGCAGCTAGCGAGAGAGATGAATTAAGAGTTCGATTATTTTCATCATCTTTGTGCGGATCGGCATTTACATGGTTCATTTCATTACCACCGAATTCTATTATTACTTGGGCTGATCTAGAAAAACAATTTCATAAGTATTTCTTTCTTTGGAATCCATGAAAAAAAAACTTACCGATTTGGTAAAATTGAGACGGCAGTAATGATGAATCGGTAGAAAGCTTTGTGCAAAGGCTAAGAGATGTAAAGAATAAGTGCTACTGATGCTGGTCTCGGATGATCGGCTGACTTGCCGATCTGGCTTTCAAGGGTTATTGCCACATCTTAAAGACAGAGATATGCTTCTCGGGAGTTTGAAAGTCGGTCATCTTGTGCAAAGGATTTACGATCAAGACACTAGGGTTTTTGAACCTAAAAAGAATTGGAATAAAAAAGTATCATTTGTTGAAGAAGTAGGAGATTTCGATTCGATGAAGAACCGATTATCGGCTTGGTGAGTGGGTTAAGAATAAAAGGCCGATATCTTGTCCCTTTGGTCGAGAAAGAGCGTAAAAGTTTACCTTTGATATCACCAAGGCCGACAAGATATTTGATCTTACGCTTCAAGAAGGCCAAATTAAGTTCATCACCTAATCATGTGATCCCATCGGCGAGAAGAGTTGAAGAAGATCTTGTCTCGCAAATGGCACAATGCAACTTCACACAAGACAAATGAGTGCAAGGTGTTAGAGCAACTTGATTACAATCGGCTATTGAACTGGAGAATTAAGTTTGGTACTTCCAATGCCCAGAGGCCGATGAAAATTGATCAACACCCTTTTCCAGCAAATACGTTGGAGGCCAAAGGGAAGACCAAGGTATTGACGTCAGAGGCTGCTGAGAAAAACGCGTCAATGGATCCCCAACATCGGATAACTACCGATGATGCAAAAAGTAAGGGTTTGCTGGGAGAAAGCAAGTAGTTCCAAACAACCTCCTCGACTGGCATTATGATTACTCATCGAAGGCGGCGGGAGGGTTGGCGTCGGTAATAATGATCGATATCGACAACAGCAAGAAGAAAGACGTCGGGAAGAATGGCATCGGCATAAAGATCATTGGAGGTGCCCGTTTTTTATCTATTGCTGGGAAGAAGGTATTAAATTGCCAACTGTTGAAAATTGCCCTGAGTGCAATGGTTATTATGGGGTCAATCATCGAAAGGAGGTTTCAACACGGCAATCGTGGTTTATTTATCAATGAGCCGATCGAGGCGCGAGCATCGATGCATGATCGGTTGAGGGGGCGAACTTAGTGTACATGAAAGGCTTGGTAAACGCGCTGGATATTTTCCAAGGAATCAAGAGGAGCTTGAGGAAATGGCAAATGCAAGAGTTCCCGATGAGGAAATATTCTCTGAGGACCCTAATATACGCCGTGTAGAGTCAACTAGGACTGTTATCGGCCGGTTTGGAAAACCAAGTTTCCTCGATGGTGCCGGAGGGTCGACAAAAGACGCAGAGAAGGAGGATGCAACGTGAGCGTCGGGAGGATTTATACCAAGAGGAAAATTCCTCCAATGAGAGGTCCGGTCATCAATAGGTGGCGGGTAAAACACAAAATAAGGGTCCATCGGCAGATGTTAATATGGTATTCATATTGCCGATGGAGTTTTTGGCACTATCTCGATAATGAGGAAGAAGTTGTTCTCTCGATCAAGTAGCTCGATTGACACTAGATCCAATGATGGCTGTTTTTGAGAAACCTCTCGATGATGAGAGACTGACATCTTAAGGCTTTGTTTGTGAAAGGCAGAGTTGATGGGCGACTGTGTCTAAGGTACTTATTGATGGAGGGGCTGCGATTAATATTATGCCTTATGTGATGTATCGGAAACTTGGTAAGGGAGATCAAGACTTGACCAAAACCGATATGATCTTTGAA